AGGAAGGTTAATTTATTTAAATAACCAACTGTTGGTTTTTTTAATATATATTGAAAACAGCATGGAAAGTGACCAGGAATAAATCTGTTGGGGTTTTGTTTGTTTGTTTTCGAGATAAACCAGTTTCAAGATAAACCATTTCAAGATAAATAAACAGTTCACACTATTCACAGGATTTTGCACTTGAGGTACTTTCTGGCTTTGACCTTTGCTGTGGGAGCAGAGCCCCGTGGGAGCTGCACTCCAGCTCCATACAGAAAAGCCATTTCTGACTGCACCCCAGAGCCAAACCCCTGTTTGGAGGCACAGCCAACCACCTCCCTCAACAGGAGACATCCACAGACAATCACCACTTGTTTAAAAGACAGGCGAGGGGACAACACCCCCCACCCACACATCCCCTCCCACTGCTCCTCCAAAACTGTTCCACTCTCCAGAACCCTTTTTGTATGTTAAAAACACTACCAGAAGCTTTCACAGCACGTCCAGTTGCTGCCACACACAGACACAAACTTGCCCACCAGATTTGCACACACAAAACATAAGAAAAAAACCCATAAAGACAATATTTACCATATGCTACAGGGGTGAGCTTGAGAATGGTGTGGAGGGGGCAGCGCAGGTAGGGCAGCTCATCTAGGACAGAGACAGGGGTTATGGGGGGCATCACAGCTGGGCCAGCCACCCCCCTGCCCACCTGGGGTGGTAGAAGCCCCATCCCTGGAACCATCCCAGGGGAGGTTGGCCGGGGCTCTGAGCACCCTGCTCTAGCTGGGGATGTCCCTGCTCAGTGCTGGGGTTGGACCAGATGAGATTTAAAGGTCCCTTCCCACCCAAACCAGTCCATGATTCTCTGATTTCCAACACACAGGGTGAGCCAGGGGAAACCCCTCCAGCAGCACGCTCAGCAACAGCCACCATGGACCCACAGGAGTTTTATTTAAAGCTTTAATAAAACTTATAATGAAGTCAATAAACTCCAGTACCACTCACTGGGGCTCCACAATGGAGCTTGTAGCAGACTGGAACTCGCTTCCAGGCGAGCGTGCCATGGACTTCTTAGAGATGTAGCACTACTGCCAAGCCTTCCAGGCCACTGATGCCTCAGAAAAACTTTCCCTTTTGCATTAAAAAAATAATCCCCTGGAGATTATGTAAATACTATTGGTGGCATCAGCTCCAGAAACAACATCTGAGCAGAAGCCCAGCAGCACATCCACCTGCACCTCTCTCAAAGAGCTCCCTGCAAAGTGCAGCACTGAAATCCAACAGTTAAAAGTGCTGCAGAAACATTTTCTATTTTTTTCTCTTTTTTTTTTTTTAAGCAGTCCTTCCGTTGTGAAAAATCAAAACAGGAATTACAAGCCACCCTCCCAAAAGCTCTGTGAAGGAAGCAGCAAGAAGCCAGGCCCTAAAATCATCCATTTATTTTTGTACCTGCGCTCTTGTCAAGAAAATAAGCCAAGAGGCACCTCATAACTGCCTGGTGGGAGATAACCAGGACGTTGCCTTGTCGTTCCAGCTCCATAATTACTGGCTCCAGGCGCTGGACCAAGTCCTGGTAGGACTGAAAGAAAAAAAACAAACCAGAAATTTCTCCAGTTTTGTAAACAAGCTGAAAGCAGAAGTAGCAGTTAACACAGCTTCACCTTCAGGAAGAGAACAGTTAAGTTATCAAAATGCTGAAGTGGATGATTCAGTAAGTAGGGGGAAAAAAAAAGCAAATAAGAAAAGGTGAAATTTACTGTCAGCAACCCTCAGGTGACAGGATTCAGATTACTGGTAATGAGTGCAGTAAGAAAAACAAATAAAATCATAAATTATACACTTCAACAAGGTTATGAAGTAAGACCAGAGATGACTCCACACCCCACCCACAGTCATTTTCTTTCCAAGGTGGTTTTTCACAGTGACAATTCAGGCCTCAGCCAAGTGAGTAGGATGCAGAAGCCCCTCGGTGTCAGAGGGGAGCATCAAGGGACTGGGCACGGGCCAAATTAACTGCCTGGAAAGCATCATCTGCACCTCACAATAAAGGAAATCAATAAACCTCTCCTCTGAAAGAGAACTGGGGAGCCCAACGTTTCCAGTTTCTCATACAAATATTGGCAGAAAAAGGGAAAGTCATTCAGTTTTATGCATATTTTATCTCAGTGTTATTTCCCAAGGGTCTTCACCTCGCCTCCAGGATAGCGGTAGAGATATTTCTCTTGATCCCTCAAGGCAAACTCCTCTGGGTACTTGGCTTCAATCTCTGCATAGGTCATTTCTTCACAGACCCCCTGAGGGAGGAAGAACCTGTTAACACTACACTTTGTTTCAACAGAGGTACAACGACACAACAGGAAGGAAATCACAAGCAAGAGGCTGAGTCAGGGGTCACTTTACGAGATGAACATTTTTGGTGGAGCATCTGACACATCCATCACTCAGCATTCGTGCCCTGCACGTCCCAGGGTCGTTTGATGAGGATGGGGTTTATGGTTTTTATTTCAAAATCTTTGTTTGCCATGGATGAAAAGGAGTGCTCCTTTCCACAGCACAACCCTGCAGCTTCTTTGGCCTTAAAGAATTAAGAGTGGGAGCAGGAAACTCCACCCAGTACAGTGTGACAAAGCCCTGGGATGTTCAGTGTTGTTTTCTTTCTCCACGCCAGCTGGATAGATCCACAGCAAGGTTTAGTAGCTCTGGGCATTGTCAGCCCTGTATCAAACCACCCCAAACCTCATGATGATGGCTGGAGTACATTAGACATCGTTATAGAATCACAGAATCCTTTAGGTTGGAAGGGACCTCCAAGATCATCAAGTCCAACCATTGAGCCACTAGGGCTCTAAAGTCTTCTGCTAAAACAGAATCAGAATCTGTCAGGGCTGGAGGGGACCACAAGGATCCCCCAGTTCCAACCCCTCTGCCATGAGCAGGGACCCCTCCCACTAGATCAGGCTGCCCAGAGCCTCCTCCAGCCTGGCCTTAAAGACCCCCAGGGATGGGGCCTCAACCACCTCCCTGGGCAACCCATCCCAGGGTCTCACCACTCTCACTGTGATAAATGAACTGGAAACAGTCAACTTTATCAGGCTGAATTTGGTTTTAGACATTATTTTCCACCTAGAAAGGCTCCAGTCAGCATTTCACTCACAGCATCGATCTCATTGAGAATCTTCCACTGCTCATACGTGACCCCCAGGGACTCGGCTGTCTGGATTGTCCTCTTCAGCTGGCTGGTCCACACCTTCAGGTCAACGATTTCCTGCTCCTCGATGAACTTCTTCAACGCCTGGGCAAACTGGAAAACAATCCAGAGGAGGTTCAGAGGGAGCAGGAGCCACTGCCACCACTAACAGCATCATTTCAAGGCAAGACCCAGCCACGGGGCTGCCCCTGAGCCCAGCTCTGAGCCTGGGCACACCCCACTGCCCGGGCACAGCCCCCCGGGTGCTGCCAGGCACCTACCTGCTTCCCACGTGGTGACAGACCAGAGTCCCCACCAATCTTGCCAACAAGGTTATAGTCACTCTCGCCGTGCCGGCAGAGGTAGATGGTGCGTGGCTGGACGTGGATGTTCATGAGGTAATAGACAATCTTACTCTGGATGTAATCCTGGACTCTGTTCACCAGGAACCGCTGTCCCACGTTGATCACTTTAATGAAGGAAAGATCTCTGGAGTCAACATAAAATAAGAACACCCACACGACTGGTTTGTAAAAAGGAAGCATGTGCACCTATGGGTGTAATCTGCTATTTATCCTCTAGGAAAGGCACCAGCACTACCACTGGGCTGCTCCAGCAGACAGGAGAGACACTGAGCTGCTGCTTGTAAACAAGGAGCTACGTCACACTGCAGTACACTGGAGAAAAATCCCTCCAAACCACCTGAGGATACCACCTTCAGACAAGCAGCCCCATTTTTGGGGGAGCAGAGGCTCCAGCATCCAGAGCCAGAGAACAGCAGCAACAAAGCAAAGCAGCTCACGTGGGCAAGGACAAAACACCAGCCAGGGCTCTGCTTACTTGTCGTACACATCGGGGTCGAGAGGCTGGTAAGTGACCTTGTAGCACTCTATCCTCTTCAGGAAATCATCCATCACATTCTCCCTGTTTCTCTCTGGATAGTCGGGGCTGGAAACCTTCACCTCCTGACCAACAGACAGTGCCACTTTGTGAGAGCTAAGCAAACTCGAGAGGGAACAAAAGCAACACTGAATAATGTAATTCTGCCTTTTTGAAAGAAATACACATTGTTTAATGCTGCCCTGTGGAAAAGTCTGCTCCTGGAGAGGAAACAAAGGGCAGCTCTGAAGGCGCTGTGGTGCTTGGCCCCATGACAGACACAGCTGGCTCGCTGTGAGCTGGCCCTGCCTTCCTCCAACAAGAAACCACACTTCAAGGTCAAACGTTTCTCAGCTTCCTTTCGTCTCCACGTTCTCACATAACTAACTGCGTCTTCAGCTTTTAAAAACCCACAGACCTTAGCTGCTTATTTCCAAGGTGACACCTAAGAGCCAAAGGCACCTGCAGACACGGCTGCAAGCTTTGGCAGCTGGTGACCTTGCACTGAGCCCCCGGGCTCCCAGGGCTGGCAGCTCAGCCTGGAACAGGCAGCACGCACCAGGATGTTGGCAGCAATGACTTCTGGATCATCACAGACCGACTCCACGAAAAACACCTGCCAAGAAGGCCAGAAGAGAGTTTCAGAGAGTCAAGAACTCCACCTGGAATCAAAACGTAAGAGCTCCTGCCCCAAAAACCCCACAGTGTCCCTCGGGGCAGCAATTCCAACTAGAGAATAAACACAGGAGCACTACCTTGAAAGCATTTTCCTTAGCAAAATTTAAGATGAGGTCCCGTCTTTCTCGAGTCGTATTGGTCGCATCAAACACCTACCAGAAAGCAAGTAAACTGCAATGAGAACATTTACCTCAGGCTTCTAAACCAGCCCCAAACCATTTGGGATTACCACCAGGTCCCCAAACACCCTGGGCAGCTTTGGGCTACCCGGATGTAAGACCATCTTTAGTCCAGAGCAGTCTTACAGCTATCTGCCCACACTCCTCCAGGAGATAAGCCTTCACATCCTCTAGAGCCACCAAGGCACACTGCCTGCAGGGGAAAAACAGCATCATCAGAGCTGATGGAAAGTACTCAGACAACAAGGCTCCCAAACCTCCCTGGAGAGACTCTGGTTTCTTTTCTCTGCCCACAGAGCACCCACCCTGCATCATTCCAAGAGCCCAGAAGCTCTGCAGAGATCACGAGGCACCTGCACCTACAACCTGTGTCTGCAGCCCTGTGCCAACAGCAGAACTCCCTCATGCAGGACTGTGGCCATCCAGGGCTATTCTGTGCTCCTCGGGCACCGCCTGCCAAGATCTGAGTCTAACCAGACCCTCCCAGCTCCCTCCAGCCCCTGATGCCAACTCACTTTCGGATTTCCATGGCTTCTTTGTTGTCGTGCCTGAAGAAGTCATAGGACTTGTAGGCCTTGACGGCTTCCCGGCGGTACACGCCTAAATTAAACACTTCCCAGACAAAAAGAGGAGCACGTGAGACCACGGGGACGCAGGGCCAGGCCTCGGGCAGAGCTCCCAGCCCCCCACACACCTTTGGTGGGCACCCCGATCCAGTTGAGGTAGCGGGTGAGCTTCTTGGACACGTAGGTCTTGCCGCGGGCGGGGAGGCCGATCATGACGATGAGGGTCGGGGAGTTGGTCATGTAGGACGCCCATGCTGGGGAAAAAAAACACCCCGACCCGAGCCGGGAGCGTCAGCGGCATCGCAGAGCAAGGAGAGAGCCCCAGCCCAACCCCTTCTCCCCCGTGCACCCGGTAAGGGCTCGCTGGGTGTCCCCGCAGCTCATCAACCGCTGCCTGCGGTAACCCGGGTGTCGGTTAATGAGGCGGATTAGCACCCTGCCTAATGGGGGCTAATGGGTACCCTTTAGCATCACAAATATTTACCGAGGGGGCAGGAGCCGTCAAGGGCGTCAGAAAGATGTTTTTAACACAACGGTCACGTTCGCCC